GAGAAACATAAAACTGGGATCTGACACAGGAGAAACATTACTGGATGGTTCCCAGCCCTTGAGTCAATATTTTGCAATTTCTCTATCTCTGCTGTAAATCACTGGGAATGAATAGCATTGCAGTCCAAATGTCAGAACACCCATCATCTCCAGTTACAGGGACCTTGGTTCAAATCCTAGTCTAGCCTATTACATTTTAATCTCCAGACAGATTAGGCTGATGCCTGCATATACTGTATGTAACGATAAGGGGTGCAAAGGTGACAGAAACGTCTGCACAATCAATACGCTGAAGCCTCCAGCACCAGTCCTACGCCTCCCAACTCTAACACAACAATATCACATTCTTCAACTTGGCCTTTTTTAACGAAAACTGACATCACTATTTGAGTTTAGACATACATAGAGCCCTTTGCTTACACAGCTTATAACAGTGTTTATTGGACATCATTGTGACGTCATTGCTACATTGAGTGACAGAAACCACAGCAACCTTACATGCGGGACCAGTATATGTCAGCGGCTACCTCCATGGCAATGACTGTCTGCCTGATCTCCACCATTTCCATTTTAATTTCATTGATATTGACACAGAATGCATTAACACTGGTTTGTTAATATAATACTGTGGTTGACAATAGCGGCCTCCAGTTTGCTATACATAGTGGTCTCATTCTTGACACTGTCTGTTCTTTGGACTGCAAAATCACATGAATCTAAACTTCTGTTTTTTATAATAAGACTTTAAAGAGTATATGCAATTCAATTCAATGAATTCCATATATACAACAATGCTATTTCTGTTTCATATTTGAAAATAAAAGTCAACCAGAACATGTTTAAATTCAAAATGTGTCACCCACAAGTCTTCAACCTCAATGACTCTTAAAGGTCCAGAATGGTTGAATTATTTATAAGTTATCTTTGTTTTCTAAAAATATAACATTAATATGACATTGAATATTCCTGTAAAAACTAAGGTAACATTTGCATGCAGGCTGCTATTTTTTTAGAATGATTAAACTAACTTGGGCTGAACAGGTTGATTTCAACAAAAGCTTGTTAATGACAATACAGAGATTGACAGAGAGGGATATATAGAGACTGGTACACAGGGAACATCTCAGACAGACAGGGATATAGAGACTGGTACACAGGGAACATCTCAGACAGACAGGGATATAGAGACTGGTACACAGGGAGCATCTCAGACAGACAGAGATATAGAGATTGGTACACAGGGAACATCTCAGACAGACAGAGATAAAGAGATTGGTATACAGGGAACATCTCAGACAGACAGAGATATAGAGACTGGTACACAGGGAACATCTCAGACAGACAGGGATATAGAGGCTGGTACACAGGGAACATCATAGATAGACAGAGATAAAGAGACTGGTACACAGGGAACATCATAGATAGAGATATAGAGACTGGTACACAGGGAACATCATAGATAGAGATGTAGAGACTGGTTGGTACACAGGGAACATCATAGATAGAGATATAGAGACTGGTTGGTACACAGGGAACATCATAGATAGACAGGGATATAGAGACTGGTACACAGGGAACATCTTAGATAGACAGAGATATAGAGACTGGTACACAGGGAACATCTCCGACAAAGATATAGAGACTCATACACAGTTACATTTCAGGGATGGAAATACAGAGATTACCCTATTTACAGAGCTTTGTCAGCAAAAGTGAGAGTTGACACATGTGACCTTGGGACATGTAGGACCTTGACCGTAGGACACAATGATATCTGTGGAGGTGTACCGAGTAAACTATGTCCCCTAGATAAACTAGCTAATTAATTATTCCACTCGTTGAAGCGGAACTCTTTAGATAGCGTAACTTGTTGGAGGTATATAGGTAAAGGTAGGGTGGCTAATTAAATCATATCAAACAATTAGAATTTGTGACTTGTATAAAGCAGTGTACTGGGTGCCACCCTGATAGGCAATCAACGGTCTCCATAACAAGTCTGAACCTCAGGTCTTAAGACAAATCAGCGGAGTTTCAAACTCCAATGAGATGAACACCTGCATATCAGGTATACAATAATCTGCTGAAGTAGGAATCCATAGGCATTCAAGTATAGAAACATAATGATCTGTTGTAACTAGTGTTGTAACAGTACAGGGTGTCAGTTACTTAAAGTGGGGCGTCAAGAAGTGGTGAACTGGTGCTCTGGTGTTTGGCTCAAGTACTCAGTAATAATATATATGTATATATTAGTGGGTTGTATTTATAGCTATAGACATTTGTTCTGTCATGTATAGAAGTTATTTAAGAATGAAACAACAGAAATACATACCAATATATATCTGCTGTTCATATGTTGTTGGTTTTTGTAACCAATTTGTTCTACTCAAATATTTAAGCTAGAGACTATTTTTGAATCGAGAGCTAAGGAGAGTTTTTGTAAGAGGACAGATACTTTGATATGATGGATGGTAGGACAGAAAGTCTAATATGATGGATGGTAGTACAGACAGTCTGATATGGTGGATGGTAGTACAGACAGTCTGATATGGTGGATGGTAGTACAGACAGTCTGATATGGTGGATGGTAGTACAGACAGTCTGATATGGTGAATGGTAGTACAGACAGTTTGATATGGTGGATGGTAGGACAGATACTTTGATATGGTGGATGGTAGTACAGACAGTCTGATATGGTGGATGGTAGCACAGACAGTCTGATATGGTTGATTGTTTTGGATTATAGAGTCCTAAATCAAACCAGTCTAGGTTAACCAGGCCACAGATACAGGATTGTTTTCTCCATGCCATATAACCTTTCCATTCATCTTGCATCATAATAATCAAAGACTTTTCAGTCTCATATCCGATGGTGCTGAGAAGCCATGTTATTTCTGCAGATACCCAAAGAAGTAATCATTAAAAATATGATTTGTGAATGAAGATGTTTGACTAGAAGATGTCCTGCTGCAGGTGTTTGCTAGGCACAGGTTTAATGGCATGCTTCTCCTCCCTGCAGTATGATTTGATATCTACAATCAATGGGTGGCCATCAAAAGTTGATGTGGCAATCAGATTTTGATCACTGGTATTACAAGCAGAAGCTGCAGGTTATACGCAAGCTCTATCTTTAACTAATGTCAGGCTGATGCAGAAAGACTCCCTTTTACCTTGAGTAGAGAAGTGTAATTGTGTTTTCCAACCTGCGAGTTTCTCTGTACTGGATTCAACCTCACGTGACCTTGTGTTCGGACACAATTCCCATGACACTGGATTCTTATCAGGAAATCGAGATAGTAGTCGATTGTTGGATAGAGTGCATAATCAATAAATCCACAGTTGATCAAGTGCTTTAGGTAAGAAATAATTATAAACAAACGATGTAGTGAAACTGATAGTGAAGTCTCTCAGGTTTTTTTGACCATTTCTCTGACCAGTTGAATCAAACTGTAAATCTACACATAGTTGTAGAAAAGGAAGTTAACTCTAGATCAAGTTGGTCAAACCTAGCCACGGTCAAGACAGTTACCGTAAATCTAGATCTAAGATATGCGTCTCCTTGAATATCAGGAGTTTGTGTGATTATTTCAAATTCAAAATAGACATAGGACATAAAAGAAAAATGATCAAGCTTAAGGTTGATAGGTGAAAGTAAGATGAAGATCAAAGTAGAAATGTTTAAAGCTAAATACAAAAAAAAAAGAAGTTGAAATGTCAAATTATGAAATGATCACAGTTAAAACAGACAACACAAGGGTCAAAGCAGACATGAAGTTCAAATTAGACATGATCAAGGTCAAAATAACATGACCAAGGTCAAGTTACACATGATCAATGTCAAAGCAACATGACCAAGGTCAAAGTAAACATGCTCAAGGTTAGAGCAAACGTAATCAAGGTCAAAACAGGAATGATCAAGGTTAAAGCACACATGATCAGAGTCAAAGCAGTCAAGGTCATGCAAGTTCAAAGCAAACATTATCGTGGTCAAAGCAGACATGATCAAGGTCAAAGCAAACATGATCTAGGTCAAATGATGTGTCAAGCTTTAAAACAGAAGCCAAATGTTATGTGTACTGCACTCCAGCCTTGTCATTAGATGTCTGAATACCACTCCAGCCTTGTCATTAGATATCTGAATACCACTCCAGCCTTGTCATTAAATGTCTGAATACCACTCCATTATTTAACCTTAATTCTGTCTGTGCAAATAACAAATATTTATTTGATGTATGTAGCACACTTTCAAAGACACAGGATTTTGTTCCACAAATAAACAGTGACAGTGTGCAGTGATGTACCACATCTCTGTGTTACAGAACAAAAACAGCTTCCCTACACATTATCTATAAAACGTAACATCTTTTCATTTTCAGACTTGATTAACAGAAAATAAATCTTCAATAGATGACTTAGTTTCCAAAGTTTCTAAATTAATTACCTTTTTCCTGTCTTAAATGTTATTTTAGCATTCAACAATTTGTCAACAATTCAACGTCATTTGTTATTATTAAATTTTGGATTGTAAAGAACTGAAGAGCGATGACATTTCAAAATGTTGTTCACTCAACTTGCATAGTTAAAGACAAGTATGAAATGAAATAAAGATACGATTATTTTTTACTAATAACAGCTGCTATAGCAAACATTGTGTTCATCTCCTGAAAAAAAATGGAATTTGGATGGGAAATATACAAGCATGCCTAAATGTAAAATGTTGGTTTGTCAAAAGTCTCGGGTAACTCATCCTCTAGTTAGTTTTAGTTGAAAATGACAATGAAATATATAGTTTAAGCTTATTATAACCTTACTGCTCTGTCTTACTATCTAAGTACTTGTTAGTCATTATTCTTCTCCTGTCCACGCAGTAAGGCTTGTCTCTTGATCATCAAATTCGAAATAACTTATGCTCAATCATAAAATAATGATTCCTGTCCTCCAGGTTAGTTGAAAATCAACTTTTAATGTATATTCAAAATTAAACAATGTTAAGTAATTCTTACCTGCCGGTTCCGTTCGTCGCCAATGCGGGATATTTGGATTTTTTTGCGCCCCATCCTGACCTTTTCCACCCCACTCCCACTGTTGCTGCGTTCCTGAGCCACTATTGACGTTTCTCCGACAGAACTTACAATCCTGAAAATACACAACAAAACAGGCTGCTGTAGGAATTAATCAAAAGAGCGTGCATTTCTGAAACATACAGATTTATGGAAAGACGTGTACCAATCCTGCTGCAGGTTGCCCTAACAACGACGACTAGAATGTACCTATGGATACATGCTCCTTTACATGTCTGGCATGAAAGATACATATGATCTTTCCAACCTCATCAAACTGTTATATGAAAAACTGTTGAATGTTATTGTGAGGTGAAATAAGGTAATAGGAGGGTCAACCAATCTGTAACCCTGACAGCTATAGTTATCCCAGTCTATCACACTGTATAGTGGTCTGGGGGAATTACTACATCGGCTTTGTAATGACGTATGTTCATTCCAAAGTATAAGATAATACTGTATGAACATTTTACATTATCAGCACTTTGACGTTACAAGGATGTCATATCATATATCCTAAACCACATACATGTATCCACTAAAAACAGGATGTCACATGACAATTTTTCAAACCACATATGTGTCCACTGAAATTACCAGGATATCATATATTTCTGAAACGACACGTCCAGTAAAATTACCAGGACATCATATGACATCCAAACCATACATATATGTCAAATAAAATAGATTTAGTTAAACAATGGTCCAGACGTTAAATACTATGAGAAACCTTGGAATAACCTGTGGATACAGCTCTTACATGGCTCTGAAGTACTGAATATTGACATCATGTTTCTCCCTGTTGTTACACACACCCACACATACTCAAAGTGCTCATGTTTTTATCAGTCAAAATACGATACATTGTCAATCTCCTATTCCAAAGGAAGTCTTCTCCACAGATATCGCAGCGAAACAGCCCTGTCAACATGGTAATTATGGCTATACAGCTGCCGGAGGGTTTCCAATATACAGAGAATCACTGACATTAACTCACAACTCTGTTAATTTAACCTGGACAGGGTTTATTAGCTTGACAAAATGACAAGATTGAATTAAATTCTTTATTAACCTTGAACTTTCCTTTGTTAAGCTTTGTGTAATTTTGATTTCTGCAGTATCAAAACAAACAGGGAGTGAAAATGGAGCCTCCCATTCTGTCAACATAGGTAATCCTGGTGGTCCCTGATTTCTTGTCTGATGGATTTCATAAAGAGGTATCGCTACACAGAACTGGTCAACAAAGCCTGACCAACAACTCCAGGGACCCTCACTGGTCATCACAGCCCGACTAACAACTCCAGGGACCATCACTGATCATCACAGCCTGACCAACACCTCCAGGGACCATCATTGATCATCACAGCCTGACCAACAACCCCAGAGACCCGCACTGGTCATCACAGCCCGACCAACAACTCCAGGGACCCTCACTGATCATCACAGCCTGACCAACAACTCCAGGGCCCCTCACTGGTCATCACAGCCTGACCAACAACTCCAGGGACCTTCACTGGTCATCACAGCCGGACCAACAACTCCAGGGACCCTCACTGGTCATCTCAGTCTGACCAACAACTCCAGGGACCCTCACTGGTCATCTCAGTCTGACCAACAACTCCAGGGACCCTCACTGGTCATCACAGCCCGACTAACAACTCCAGGGACCATCACTGATCATCACAGTCTGACCAACAACTCCAGGGACCATCACTGATCATCACAGTCTGACCAACAACTCCAGGGACCCGCACTGGTCATCACAGTCTGACCAACAACTCCAGAGACCCTCACTGGTCATCACAGCCTGACCAACAACTCCAGAGCCCCTCACTGGTCATCACAGTCTGACCAACAACTCCAGAGACCCTCACTGGTCATCACAGTCTGACCAACAACGCCAGGGACCCTCACTGGTCATCACAGCCCGACCAACAGCTCCAGAGCCCCGCACTGGTCATCAAAGCCTGACCAACAACTCCAGGGACCCTCACTGGTCATCACAGCCCGACCAACAACCCCAGGGACCCTCACTGGTCATCACAGTCTGACCAACAACTCCAGGGCCCATCACTGGTCATCACAGCACGACCAACAACTCCAGGGACCATCATTGATCATCACAGCCCGACCAACAACCCCAGAGACCCTCACTGGTCATCACAGTCTGACCAACAACGCCAGGGACCCTCACTGGTCATCACAGTCTGACCAACAACTCCAGGGCCCATCACTGGTCATCACAGCACGACCAACAACTCCAGGGACCATCATTGATCATCACAGCCTGACCAACACCCCCAGAGACCCTCACTGGTCATCACAGCCCGACCAACAAATCCAGGGACCATCACTGATCATCACAGCCTGACCAACAACTCCAGAGACCCTCCCTGGTCATCACAGCCTGACCAACAACTCCAGGGACCATCACTGATCATCACAGCCTGACCAACAACTCCAGGGACCATCATTGATCATCACAGCCTGACCAACAACCCCAGAGACCCTCACTGGTCATCACAGTCTGACCAACAACTCCAGGGACCATCACTGATCATCACAGTCTGACCAACAACTCCAGGGACCCTCACTGGTCATCACAGTCTGACCAACAACTCCAGGGACCACATTTTCTATACATGTTCATTCACACACACCTGGGACACAACTACCTACATTTACATGCACAGGTGTAAAGTGTTGATAATTAAAGTGATTGTATTTGTGTCCAAAGTCAGGGAACATAAGAAGAAAGTGAATTATACATATGCTGAATAAGTACACAATTAAGTACACTAAGTACAAGTGACCAGAAATAAGGACATATTCGTTAAAGCCTCTTGGTTGTGACTTTACTTGTAGATAAAGCACTTGTGTATTACAGAACTATAAGGTAGGGCACTTCACATTCTCACTAATAGTACACAGTACTTATACAATTACTTAATCCTCTGAGCTAAAGATCCCATTCTATAGTATATAATTCTTCTCTCGCCACACAACTATGTTAGGTATGTACCATCTTGTCTGCTGTTTCTAAGGTCATGACCTTCGATCAACTTTAAAAAATTGCCCAATTTAACAAATTCGGACACAAACAGACCATTAGTATTTAACATGAGTTTTCTCCTTATCATCCTTACATTCAAGCAGAACAATCACACCTACTATTAGTTTTTACCACAAGTATATAATAATGGCCTTCTATATGTAGAAACAAATTAGCTCTCTGATTCCATGTTGATCTACGAATCTGATGCCGGAGCACAGAGGTCCTGTTTTCACACATACTTCGGTAGTTGTGATCAGTTGTTCACATCAATGGTTGAAGCTGGGAGATGTTGTGGATGCTGGTAGATACGCCCTACATCGCAGAAAATCCAGTGCTACTAGATGACAACTAACAAGGCGATAAGGAAATTCTCTCCCATCGCAAGCCATGGACACAAATGTGTCCCCGCAATATTTATGACAACTCGTTCGAAAGGATCGGTATCAAATTATGAAAACACAGTGCACAGACATTTTTCAAATATACTGTTCATCATCAAAAACAAAATGATAAACATGAAATTACAATGTATACATTCATGATTAGCATCAGAACATACACATTAACCTTGTAATCAAAAATATTCATCATTATCAGTAACATCAGAATCCTAATGCATGGTAACACGTTGTTATAAATGATACACCCATAAATATAAAATACAGCAAAATAAGGTTTCAATGGCTTTTCTCATGATTTTTAAATACCACATTTCATTTTAATGCTAAGGATACAATTTGGAGGATTTTTCCCCCATTTTTAGAGGATTTTTTTTCCCATGTGCAACACAAGCAAGAAATAAGATTTCTATAGGTAATCTGTCCAAGTCTGGAAATGTCTCGACAGAGATTTTAGTCGTGTAAAGTGTGCTGCACAATACCAAGGATTAACTCCCAAAGTGATATCTCAAAGACATGCCCCTGTATCTCCCCACAGACACTATTCCATTCCTACCAACCACATGATTTATGATCAACTTTTGTTCCATCAAATATCAGTTTTGTTTAAAATTACTTCGATAGGATACATAATCCTTGCTCATTAGCTAAGAAATAACAGTCTACACTTGACCAATCAGAAAGTAGATTACATTATCATTTATGGGTAGGTTATTTATGACTAATAATACAACCCATGTCTGCACGCACTCTTCAATTATCATACTTTTTAAAATTTCTATGGGGCAGATTGCACATGCTCAGAATTAAAAGCAAAAATAAAATGTGTGTATGTACACCCTAGGGAAAAATTAACACTCGTAAATGGCATCTTTCAGATTATAAAATTATCAGATCTTAGAAAATAGGAATAGTTTATCAAATTCACTGGCTGAAAATGCTCAATTTTAGGGTCCAAAATTGGTAGCATCCCTCTAAAATAGGGAGAGTGGGCAAGTGTGAATTACGAATTCACCACATCAGTGTCTGCCTTTTTGTTCTAACACAGTTAAGATGAATTGCTGATGAATATGTTTAATGCTGAATCTTCAGTTTATGCCGATAAGTCTGTTAGAAATTCACCGATAGATCAGCCAGCCGGTTTAGAACAGATTCAGGAGAGCTGTTAAAATGTCCCAGATAATTAACATTGGGTGAACAGCCTAGACAGACATATCATTCACATGACAGTCAACATTAATCCTGTAGACTGACTTGTGTAACGACTTCAGGAGAAACTTCTCACTATGACATGATTTAAAATCTTGAAATGATTTTTACCAAATCAACCTTTTCAGTAACAGACATTTGCTACTGTAGATAAACTAGTTAATTTTCAACCTCCATTCTTACTGGGATGTCACACCAACCCCTAACCCCAAAATGATGACACCAAAAGCTGTCAAACATACATGATCTGCATCTCAATTGGTCACACTGTGAGTTTCCGTGTTGACCTCTGTTGACCTCTGTCACGGTGGCTGATGAGAGGTGACACTTCCCCACACAGACAGTGATAAAACCCTCACTGCCTCCCCTCCTTACTACACCTCACATCACAAACCTTATGAATATTCAATG